TCAAATTTCTTAGGCCAATGCAACCAACGTACTAGTACTTCCTTTCGTTTGTTTCGCGTCCTTTTCTTTAATATTTTTTCAACGTGGTATTCTGTCGTCTGGTCCACACTGACTGCCTGCAATTCTTGTTCGTAAAACGTGCCATCAATTTTCTCTTCATTGGCCCAGTCTATTAAGGTATATACGCATACATTGTCTCGTTTGAAACGGCTTTTGATTTTGAATATTTCGCCAGTCCACTTCTGAGAGTACTCTCTGTCAAACACGCTTTTCACGTGCGATACTCGTACTGTCTGACCTACTTTGAACTTGTAATGTCTGATCCTGTTGTTGGTTGGCCTGCCTTTGGTCCTAAGTAAGTACTGCTGAAGTCTGCTTTCTCCTTCTGACTCTTTTGTAATGTTTATTGGTTTATCGCCGAGACTTCTATGTATAGTTGAGTTATACGAAAGTACAATATTCCTGAGCACGTCAACATAACGTTGGGTTCTGTTTTTTATCATATATCTAAACAGTTTATGCTTTAGCGTCTTGATACATATCTCCGCAAAGTTCGCCTTTGTCTCCGTATTTAAAGCGTAGAAATGATGAATGTCCATGTGCTGAAGATACTTATTGACCTCTTTGCTTCTAAACTCCATGCCTCTGTCTGTTCTCACCGTCTTTGGTTTTCTAGACCCGGATAAAATTCGCTCTAATGCATTAACAACATCGCCCCCTTTCTTGGTTTTGATAGGTTCACAATAGGCAAAGCGGGAGAAAATGTCTATTACCATTAAAACGTATTTATAACCGTCATTGTGTTTGGCCAAGTCAACCATATCCATCAAGTCCATGTCCCATTGACTATCTATCCCTTCTACAATGACGCGTGATCGAGGAAACTTCCTTCTGGCTCCTCTAGTCAGGGAATAAGCCTGCTGACTTTGAAGCCATTTTCGGATTTTATGCCTCCCGATTTTAAATTTCCCCTCTGACTTGATATATTGGTACAATTTTTCTACACCTGAATAGCTTGCTGGGTTGGATGTGTCAAAATACAAAGAAGACAAATATTGTTTCCAGTTAGACATGTTTATTGACAACAAATACAAATACACATTCTTACAAAATTATAACAAATGTATCCACAAGATATTACAATACAGTGGAGTATAAAGTATGTGTTCTGGTGTCTTCTATATAACGTTCCAAAATGTCAAGTAAATGTTCTGTAGCTTCGCGATATTCTCGTCTCACTTGATAGTGTCTCAGCCATATCCAAACCATACAGACAAGTGTTAACATATTCAATGCCTTTGATGGGTCGTGATAGCCTTATTATTGACAAACAAATTTGCTGCAGTTGTAGTTGAACTGAATCCTCCAAAACCGCAAGGTGTTGGTCTAGTTGTTGATACAAACGCGCCAAATCCGCCTATTGGGGTCGGTTTTTGTTGAGGAGCGCCTACTATTCTTATATATTCGCAGTTTGGAGACCACTTGTAATGTTCTCTCAATGCACAGTCCGACCTTTCCCAAGCACTCAATTTCACGTGACATCGAAAACACGCACACACGTCAGCTTTGCCGCTGTAATACAATCCTGCACTTGCCAACTGGTATTTATCTGGTAACATTTGTTTCGGATAGGTTTCAAACGTCTTCAGTCTGTTATCATAATATTCCATATTTTTGTTGAGGGGTGTGCAGTCAGTGACGTTCATCTTGTTTATGCCAAAGCTTCGTGGTGTTTTCATTTATATACACACGGTTTGATTTCTGATTGGATGTTATTTTTAGAATGAGGTTATCGATCTATTTATAGAACTTTTGTCATTGCTATTTATAGTCACACGATTTTACCAGTTTCCGCAATCATTGGGGTTACACTCTGAACATTGTAGGGCTCCTAACTGATTCATGTGGTCGCTTTGTAAATAACAGGGCACCACTGCGTCTAATTCTGGTAGATTCCTGCCAATCTCTGGCATCAACTCTTTCAACCGACTGTACTCGGCGGGTCTCAAACATATCCCCTTCCTAGTCGGTACTACGTCATTTTCAGGTTTCCAAAACTGTCTGATGTCCACACATACACTGCCTTCACCCACATTACAGAACACGTTACCTCCAAGATGAGTGTTATAGGTCTGTCTGTTTTGAAGTGTCTGGTCAACGTATTCTATCGCATCTGTTAAGTTTTTCCATCGCATTAATGTTAACCAAATACCCTTTTTTGTGGGTTTGTCGTCCTGCCATTCTCTGATGTCAACTCTAAGCTCACCTTTCCATTCATTCACTTGCACATATCTTTGGTTTCCAAGACTGTACTTGCATCTTGAATTGTTTGCCATGTTTGCTCGTCGAGTGTCAGAACTCTAATGACATAGGTGATCGTTACACCGTCTTTTATAGATCAAAGTCTCTTCTGATTGGTCATTTTTTTTCCGAGCATTTGATTGGTTACCTTCAGCCTGTAATAAAAGAGAAACTGCTGTTAGATTGGACAATGTCAATTCTAAATTTAGATCAGCGCATGCGTAAGATGCATCGTAAATATGACTTTAGCCATTTAGTGATTGTACGTCATAGAGTAAACATCATGATGTAGTAAGTTAAGTTTTATTTTAAGTACATATCTTAGTTTCTGTGAAAAATGTTAAAAAGAAAAAGCGTTTATGTATGAGTGATTTTAATTTCGATTTTAGTCCGTATTCATAAAGAGCGGCTTAAGACATTTCGTTTGATACCAAACACGCCTTAGTTCGGTCCGGACGTGGTACAAAAAACACGTTTTTACGCTTCAGTGATTTCAGTTCCGGTCCAATGGCTTTTTGAATAGGGTCCGGTAACAGGTGTGGTAAAATGCTTTCCAACGATACCAAACAAGAGTATATTCGGTCAAGAAATAACGGAAAAAATCGATTTTGAAATTTCCGTGACGTCACTTCCGGTGACTTTAAACTCGAATTACTCGAAAACGGTAAAAGATAAACCCATAAAACTATATATTTTCTTAATTAGCGCGACGAGACGGATCAATTGGTAAAAAGTTCTAACGTTTTTATTAATTTTAACATTAATATTGAAAACAGTACTATGTTTAAAATGTGTGCAAGGGAATATGGAATAAATTTAATACCAAGCGTGATATTGTAATATTTATACAAATAACAATGGTGAAAATTTAATATAAGTGTAGTGTGTATTTAAGAAAAACAAAAAAAAACAACAAAAACTTACATTGCTTTGTCCTTTTTTCGATCAGATAGGGTGACTTGTAATCACGAACCACTTTTTTCTGAGTTTTAAACACACAACCTTAATTTCATAGCTTTCTCCTTTTCCATAAGCTTTTAAACCTATACTAAAATTAAAGTTCTTTAATAAATGCAACTTTCCGTTAGTTGTCCAACTATTGTCAGGATTACTTATGCATTCCTGAATCGATAACATCATTATATTTTTATTCCAAAATGCTGAGCTACCGTAATAATACTCAGGGTAATATAAATGCTTTTCAAACGTGTGATGAGATACCTTTAACTTCATGGTAAAGAATGATGATAGAAACGTACCCGTTTGTTCGACAGAATCTGTATAATTGATGCGTTGTAAAAATAAACCATCTTCATTGGTCCATATTTCAATTAATTCATCCCCTCCGGTTTATCAACCGTAACAGAAAAGGTCCGTCAATTCTATTAATCTTTTGTGATTAATGAAAAGCTATATTTAGTAACGAAGGATAAAGGGTTTTTGTTCAACATAGTTCCGCTAGGTATTGTAAATCTAGACTAAGTGGCGACTGTACTTGACGGTCGCTGCGTTTGAAAGGATAATAGATTCTTTTGTGATTAATGAAAAGTTATATTTAGTAACGAAGGATAAAGGGTTTTTGTTCAACATAGTGCCGCTAGGTATTGTGAATCTAGACTGAGCGGCGACTGTACTTAATGCCTTTTTTTTCTTTGACACCCGCGTGGGGCTGATGAAATAGCTCCTGGTGGTTGTGAAATACCACGACTAAAAATAGATCATGCGCAGTCTACAAGAACGTTACGCTATGACAGTCATTTCCTTACTAAATGTAGGTAAGTAAACGAGTTATATTTGTATCAATATTATTTTGAACCTATTAAAAAACTATTTTTTATAAATTAAAATGTTAAGTACGTATCTATTTACAAACATTTCTTTTATCTGTCATGATGGTAATTATCTCTCCGTCTAGGGCCGAGGACCTGACCCTCAATGTCCGCGATTCAAGGCCTAAATCGTGTATACGAGTCAGCTCCGTATACTTCCGGGAGAATTTTTTTATTCGCGTTTCTATTTATAACGTGATGATGTCAGTCTTAAAATAGAATTCAAAATGGCCGCCGCGCGTCTGTTATTCAACATGGCCGCCGCGCCTGTGTAGTGAGGTCATTTCTTTTATGCAAATGAGTAGCTATTAATAGAAAACAAAATGGCCGCCGCGCATGCGCAGTCTTGGGGCTAAAGAGGCCCCTATACTACTGTTTATAGTAAACGATCATAAAATGTTGTTGTAAGTGTAATTTATTATATACTTATAAATGAAATATTGAAAAATATTGATAGAATAAAATTGTATTTTTCCTTTTTCGTATTTTCACTGTAATTGTTTTTACTGCAGTGAAACATATTTTCCCTATTTTCACTTGTGTTTTGCCGGACTACTTTTTTTTCCAAAATTTAACCAATAAACAAAATTGAAGGGGAATTCTTTCAAATTGTTATGTCAAAAAAAAGTATATAATAAATAGAATTCATTTTATAAATACGGGATTTATTTTTATTTGTGGTATAATAATTATCATATTTCACTCATGGCTACCACCGCTTATGAAATATCCATTTTCATACAACTAAATGAAGAAAATTTAAATTAACGTTTAATCCTAGTACTTCTCTTACTATGTTCCTCTGACAAATGTGTCAGAAATTATTTTTTTCGAATTTTGGAATGACAACTTGAAACAACAAATCGTAAATACTTAAGTTAACACATAGTTTATTCCTTTCTATTTTACATGGATTGTACATTATAAAATAACAGAAATAAGAAAAATACATTTTTTGACAAAAAGGGTTGAACCAGAAGTTCCTATCACATAAATAATTCGGTCCGTCTCTTTTATTTCCCTGTTTATTTCTACTTTACATGGCATATGACAACTATATCAGCGACCAAGTACTTGATAAGGTGGGCTAGTATGTTGAGTTGTTTGATATTAATCCGGTAGAAGTTAATAAGGCTAGAAATGAGATATTTTGTTGAATAATTGGCAACTTTCGTTGGTAATTTAACATGATCGTATGTGAGATTGTTTTAGCTATATGACTCGATACATATCTGTAGCATAGGTTGTTAAATTTACTTAGGTATACCTTTGGAAGACTATATTGTTGTAAGAATATGAGTGTAGACTTAGTACTATGACACTATGATTCAAGCACTTAATCACAATTATTCAAGCACTTAAGCATTATGATTCAAGCACTAAAACACAATGACTCAAGCACTTAAGCACTATGAAGAACAATGACTCAAGTTTTGAATCATAATGTCTCAATAACTAAAGATGATTCAAGTATTAAATCATAATGTCTCAATTACTAAAGGACTTTGGCTTAAGCATTATGACTCAATCACTATGTCTCAAGCATTTCGAATCAAGTGGTAAGTATTTTGTGTTGGAGGTACTTCACATTGTAGGCATTTTTTAATATTTCTTTACCTGCTCTGTTTTAAAATGTGACGAGATAAGATAAATAAATGTTATATTAATATGAAAAGATACAGTAATAAAAATGAGTTGCATAACATTATAGTTCCTTGTTGATCTTGTTTATCATATTCATTGGAAAGGGTGATTTCAATGATCTTTCAGTCTAACAACATGCATGAAAACAAGATTTCACGATAAGAAATAGGACAATATCATCATCGAACGATGTAAGAAAGTATATCTAAAACAGTTAAATGATAGTAATATTGGCTCCTGAATGATGATGTGAACAGGAATATCCATGTTCACATGCAAGCAAATAAATATAACAGTTTGTTTGTTTTGCCTTCAAGAGAGATGCTATGAATTTAAATTTAAAAATGGTCAAAGTGCAAACAGATCTGAAAAGCAAACATCAAATATACTTCTGCAAGCATTTTGTAATAATTCCATTTAACGGAAATTCATGTATCATCTATAAAAATATATAAGGAAACTTTTCCAGTCAAGTGATGAAAGTTTTTAAACACCGTGCTAATTATTTTTCTTTCCTTGAGCCACGCCTTTTCCGACAACAGGTCCATCTTGATTCAGAAGTAAAGCCGGCCAAACAACATAATCAATATATGACCCACTTTTTGTGTACGACTTATAAATTTCTTTTCTGAACTCTTCATTTGGTTTTAGATCTTCCAAGGTCATTGGTGGTGATTGAACAACCATCATCCACCCAATCAGTAGACATTTCCGGATAAACGGTTTTAAATCGTTTATACATTCTTCATTCCAGCTGGCGGATATATATGCCTATTGAATAAATAGTTGTGTTGATTAACAATAATAAACAATAATAAGTAATAATAAACAATAATAAATAATAAACAACAATGAATAAAAAATTCAAGAACGAATTAATGGTATAGAATCACCCTTACAAGATTGACAATAAGATAATATTTCTTATTATAAGCCACAATGAATATTTAATGTCAACATACACCTTTTAAACTGTTAATATTATCATGACTACCATGTTGAAGTTTTATGTCAAGCTCACATACCTTTTCAACAAGAGGCACCATAGACACAGAAACTTCTTTTCTAAATTTCTTCAACTGGTTTGCTATGACTTCCCCTGATGTGTTTGGCTATACATATAAAAGAATCGTAAAAGTATCGATTTAAAACATAGAAAACGTACTGGTAAAGCAAATTATACAAATGTGTTATGTATATGCAATTGACTATAATAATGATATTAGTACATTTTAAACATCTTCGTGCGAAACTGTACTGGATAAAGTTAGAAATAATCGAATTATGCAAAATATATCATTTGCACTTCAACAAATTCTCCATAATATACCTTTTCTACTTAGGTGTTTTATATTTGTTTACCTCAACAATTGTTTTATGCAATTTATTCTTCTTCGCATCACTTTGGTCTTTTGGTTTCCATTTGTTTTGAAGCGATATATCATCAAGATCAAAAGTTTGTCCGCGAACTAGTTTGCCCCATCGCTCTGACTGTTGGTTTAGTGCATGAAAATGTAAAAGGAATTGAATATAATCCACAAAACACCATTTGTATTAGTAATAAAATCATTATTTTTCATAACATAATTTATTTTGTAAAATCGTTTGCTGTTATTTAACAGATGTGCCTATTTATTTATTTATGTAAGTTAGATATCTTGTAAAGGTTTTCGATGTCTACAGACTGATTTCATGATATTTACGAAATCTATGGAATTAGCACAATGATTAGAAACATTGATTAGGTTTGCTTTGCTTGAGTATGCTTAGTGTTTTTAATGTTCACGAGTTTGATAACATTCTTTTTTAAAAAGTAATCAATGTTTCATAAAAATATAAATAGAAGGTAATGATTATACAGACCCTTTCAATTAAGCGATAAGCGTCGTCGAAAAATGGTTACTCCCCTTGACGTAATTTGGGAATCATTCTTGAAGTTAGTTATTCAAAAGTTTTAATACAACAATGTTTTTAAATTAATATGCTACATGAACATTTTGATTTATGCATACGAGCATACGAACATTCCATATCAAAATAGTAAGTGAATAATTAAAAAAACGAATTTTAATGTTTAATATAAAAACACCACTACATCGCTGCAGACAATACATTAGATTATACAAATTAATATTTCACAATTGTCATTGAGAACGCATTTGGTTAACCTTTATGCGTCATACAAGATTGTCAAACGATTATGTTACATTTAATTGACCATATATTTTGAAGACACATTTAATTATTTTAATTCATACAGTCATGGGTAACAGTAAAAATACCATCCCTTACTCGAGGCGTAAGCCGAGGGTAACAGTATTTTTACGATTGTTGATATTTTACTATTTAATATGTGTTTTTTTATTCCATTGTCCAGAACATACACAGTAATGATCTGAAAATTCAAGCTAAATCTAACTAATACAAAATCAAAGCAAAAGTAAAAATACATCCGTTGTTTACCTTGAAATTTGAAGTGTACTTGAAGTTATTTTTCTTTTATTATTAAAGCAAATGATGATATGACGTTTTTATAAAATAAACCATATGATCAAATTTATTGTTTGAGTGATCTCCCTTGTGAGAGGTTTTAAAATTTTAGTATTCTGAAAAATTATTATAATATGTGACTATCTGGAGGTAAACTGTAAAGCAAAGTATCGGAAAATTGTGATGAGATATCCTTGACTATATATAAATGCTTTTTTACTTGCAGGTATTTTGCATATTCTACCGACAGACGGCAATTTCTTCAACATAATATATTAAATTGGCATAGGGCCGTACCATCATGAATTTAAATGGTGCATATGTTGTATATACAAGCGGCGCTGGGAAATACCATCATAAATTACCAGGGTGCATATGTTTTATCTTAATTGTACTAATTATGATCCAAATTCTTCTAGGGACTTTACTGAACCTGTCTCACTGACTTGATTCCTTGGAATTACTACCAGCACTTAATAATATCACCACTTTAACATTTGATCCTTTATTATCGGAATTTCTGTTTACATTTATGTACGTTTAGTGAAAAGAAAAAAAAATGATTTCCTTTCTTTTTACAGTTTGTAAAAGCAGAATATGGATAACATAAACATATTAAGTTAAAAATATTACTATTTTATAGTACGTTTTATTAAATATCCAGTACATTTAATTGACGTTAATCTGCGCTTCATACAAGAGTAAGGTTTCTGATCTTTCAATCCATTCATTTATACATTTATACACTTAGAGGTATCGGCAAAGCCGGTTTGTCCGCCGTATCCCCCAATGATCTCATCAAAAGGCAATAACTCGAATCCGATCTTAATTGAAAGGGTCTATATAATGTCAAAATATCAATGTAATCCCCTATATATTGTAAGACATAGAATTGAATAATTGAAGAATTGAATAATTACTTACAGCTTTCTTAGGCATTGTCAAGTGTCTTTTAATTTTCTGTAATTACATAATAACATCATTGTTGATGTACAGATAATAATTTGCATATGAATTAAGATGAACGTTACCATTGTAAAAAATATTCGATTCGTACGAGAAAGATCAATTAAAAAAGCAACCGGGCGAAAAAGAACTATTCAAAAATAAAGTATTTCCTAATGTAAAATACAAGGATTTCTTTTGATTAAACTCCTTATAAAACTATCTTTCTTTGTTTTATATGTAACCTTGACTGATTTTAAACCTTTAAATATTAGCGTGTTCAATAAAAAAGCATAATTCATCAAAAAGTTTGTTCCTTCATTTGAAATTTTTACCATTTGTTGAGTTGCTTTATACTCTTCGAACAAGATATTGACAGCTTCTTCTGTCCTTTCAAGCAATGACTCTGATTTCTTGCTGCAGAACTGAATTATATTCTGAAATAAAAGAAACAAAGGATTCACTATTCTATGAAATAAGTTTATACAAAAACAAATTGATAAAGCTTAACAATTTTAGTATATTCCAGAAATATCTGTTACATCATCAATCCATAGCAATATGATTTCGTTTCTTAAAGCTACACGGTTTTCCAGTGATAAACAAAATGCAATTACAAATATTTTTACTTTAACATAATTTCACAAATTGTACCAGAAGGGTCAGACGAAGTGTATCAACTGCTTCCCTTTCATCATAACCTGCATCATTGAGAGCTTCAAAAGCATCTGTCCATTCATTGTCGTACACTTCGCTGTACATTTCACCGATCTTTGTTGGTCTGTTAGGATCACTAAGGTCTGCTATTGCAGGATTGTTATCTCTTAGCTTGTCTCCGGCAATTTTGCTTAATCTAAATTATGGAATAGTAAATAGGCAATATTTAACATATAAGACAACTATACACTCATTCAATCATGCTTTTCATTAAGATACCACGATAATCAATTTTTAGAACTCCACTTAGAAATAATGTTGTTTATTTCATACATGTGCACATTATTTTTTGTTTTATGTTATTTCTCAAGCTAATGTTTTTCAGAAAATGACATGTTGGAAACTTAGAAATAATCTTTTGTCATCGATTTAAAAATGCTAACCTCATCTGCAGTTCATTCTTGTCTGTCTGCAATTTATTAAATTGTTCTTTCAGATCATTGAAACGTTCAATAGCTTTTCTTCTGTCCGCCTTTTCTTTTTCCAGCTCACGGCCACATTCGGTCAGACTTTGTTGTAGTTGTTTTACGTCTTTTTGTTCTCGATGTCCACTGTCATTCATCTTTGAAACGAAAAATATTTTTAATTTCACATTTCCAAATCGTTTCCTTTTGCTAATCTATTTTAAGCTGCAGGCCAATTATGACCTATAACGTTTTTTGTAATACTATAGTTTCCAAAAAATTATATTGCTCATTTTGCTTATCACCTGAATCCTATTTTTCTTCTGTTGCTTTTCAGCAAGTTGTATAGTTCTAGTGATTTTGTATATTGTATAGAAGTCAAAATTCTACTTGTTTTCATTTTGCACTTTTATGACAAATAGTTTCACATTCAGTGCTCATCTTTAAGTGATAAGCACCTGGTCAGTGATTAAACAATTATTTAAATGTTATAAAATTCGTGCTTGCCCATACAAGGAAATTTAAAATATTTGGTTCTGAGGTATAATATGCCTTTAAGATAAAGCCAGAAACATTGCAACATGGAAATTAAAAAAAAATTTATATTGCTTCAAAATTCTCACTGAATTGTTCTCCGCGAGATTTCCTTTTTTCCATTTTTCTCTGTTCGACTGTGCTTTGTTACTGAAATATATGTTCTCGTAGAAAATATATATCTTTGCAAAATAATTATAATAATGAATGAGGTATACATGCAAACAAGAAATGTTACATAAAGTCACGGTAATTATGTTAGAAAGCCAATAAACATTAATGGCGGCTAACCATCCATCGCAATTCTGTGTGGTTTATGTAAATAAAAGCATTGATGATTGTAGCTGAAAACTGACATTAATTAGGCAAATAATGTAAAAGCATTGGTAAGAATAATAGGGAAGTTTGACTAAAATCACTCTATAATACACTTTTGTTTGTTTCAAACCTTGTATCTGGTCGCACCATAGAAGGTATTACAAACCAATCATGGTATTTCTGAACGTTTCCGTCTGTTAAGTCTTTAGCGTCACCTTTTGGTTGTTGTTTTTGTAAATCAAAATCTGGTTTTAGCTGTGTTTGTAGGGGCTTGTTTGGAGACTTAAATGTACATTGATTATATAAACAAAACGTTGGCATAATTATGCAAGCGAAAACAATTATGTTTTACACCACTTTAAGGCTAGTTTCAAGAAATCTTTTTTTCTGTCTAACTTTTAAAATCCGCATACTTAAAACAATATTCTTCCGCTTTACTTTGTACATACTTTATGTAAACAATACCCCCCCCCCCAAAGCACGTAAGATATACTTTTCTGAATTTTCATATGAAAGAGAAACAAACAAGTACTCATTTAACATTTGACTTCCTTAATTGAAATAAATAAATAAATAAAGTTCGAATGTTTAAATTTGAACTCAAAGCTCAGCTATTGTTGAAATCACAAAATTAACAGGTGGAAAACGTCATCCCATTTCTGCTCACCATATAAAAACATTGAAATATGAGTTTAAAGTGTAGAATAGCGTTAAAATGTAATTATTGACAGATTATTAAGTGAAGAAATTATTGTAAATCTAAAGAGTGTTTAAACGAAACATTCGTCACACTTCGTACTTTCTTTCTTTCAGCCTATAATATTCGGAGACCACTAGTTTAAGAATTTAAAATATGGCTGTTAATGTAAATATATATCATATACGACAATAGCTTCTAGTATATGCGGATGTATAGTACTTGTACTAGATTTTTTGGATGATTATATTGTTACCGCCCACGTAATCAGTATATGAAACTAATAAAATCACGCGAGGATGTTAAGTTGAATTTATAAAATAATCAACATAAGCTCATTATGGGTGGGAGTCATTAAAAGTAGAATTAAGGACAGAAAACGAGTTTTAATAAAGAGAATGTGAGAGGGAGAATCTCTTTCACAAAATGTTAAAACATCGTGTTATCTTAAACATTTTACACTTCATGTATATATCGCATGCTTTTTTTGTTGCGAACAATATTTATTGAATGTAAATTGTAAAAACTATACTTATTCAATTTCAATGAGTCATTTTTTCTGAAGAATTGAAAATCTTATAGAAATAAAAGTATTAAGCTGAAAAACATGTTACAAACCTCAGTACTCCCTAATGATCAAGATAAACTGAATAAAACTGAAACGGAAAATGAATAGGCAATTGTTTAACGTCCGTGTAGAGATGTCAGTTGTATATGATACTTGATGTAATCAGCCTCTATGTATATAGTATTCGTATTGATTAAGCACGTTGAAGCTTTTTCTATTTTTGGAGTGTTTTATAAGTGTTTTAAACATGGTAGATAAATATTCCATATTCACTTAATGAAAACACATGATCCGATAAAACTTTAATTTGCATATTAGTGTAAAACCTTACACGATTAAAAATAAGCTTCTTGGAATACAGTTATGATTAATTTTGCTTCTCATGAAAGTTTGTTGTGATATTCATTTATCATTATTATTTATTTTATATATATATATTTTTTTTTTTGCTATTAGAAGTTTTGTTTTAGTACAGGGATATTTATGTTTTGTAAGGAATTGATATATTTCGCCTTCTAATATTTAACTTCCTTTTAAACTTATAGACTTTGAGATATATTGTTTTTCATTTCCGATAACTTTTCGTGTCATATTGACAAAACCGAACAAGTTGTCACGAAGAACACGAATATGTTATTATGTTTTTGTTATTTCGATCCGCCGGCTTGTCGGCGAATCATTGTAACCGTCGGGTTTGACACTTTGGGGTTTATGTTGACATGATTTTGACTTGTTTCATGACTTTTGCATGTCGTTTCTCGGGTATAAAAAGAAATAATTTTGATTTAGTTCAGTTCGTTTTAAATTGAGAAAAGTAAAATAAGTTCTTATGTTAAAAATTAAATAAATAAAAAAACAACAAGAGTTGTATTAATTCCAGCGTTTTAAAGATTGATACACAAGTACCTTTATCTATCTGACAAAATGTTTTCATGTCCTTTTACTAACATGTATCTTTCACATGAACTATTTACGTTTATTATATATAAGTTAATTAAAAAAGAAACACACTCGTATATTCGATAAGGTTTTTATACGATGCTTTGCTATACTTTGCTATGTCATATTATGCTAATCATTGCTACACTACACTACACTGCGACATTTAAAAACTGAATGGGTTTTGCTACTTACAATATAGGTATTGTTATTTGCTTGTTAAGGTATGACCTTCATAATGCATTACCTCGCCTTTGAAGAGCATTGAAATAGGCTAGAATTAGTGTCAATGGCATATACATTTAGGGATGTTGGTTCAAACCCGACAAGTATCTACATTTTTTTCTTTTAGCATTATTTATGTATCTCTCATATTCCTCCTGGAAAGAAAAAAAAATGTTTAATTTTAACTGAATAATAAATAGGGTTTTTATTGGCTAAATGATGCTAAATCTAATAAATAAATGACACTTGATATTTGAAACTTTGAAAACAGCACCTCAATTTTGGAGGAATTTTTTATCAGGCTTTCTAAGTAGGAAAGTGGTCAAGCAAGTGTTAAATGGGTGGGGAAGGTAACAGTTTTGTACAAATTCCATAAATTTTGAGTAGAAACAATCATTTTTCTTTTGTGGTTGTTAACTGAATGTTAATTTTGTTTCATAAAAATAATGAATTAATATAGACACAATTATTTATTTTATAGAATTTCGATCTTTCCAAGTGGATTTATGATTGATTGGTGCCTCGATTTATATCTATTGTATTATTTACCTCGTGCTGTTTTGTATATATTGTGCATGTCTTGAGTGAAATAAAGATATTGTATCGAAATGGTATCGAGAACATTTCATGAGGATGAGATTATAGATTATACCCGTATAAAGGGTATTAATTTCTGAAAAAGAACCCTTAATCTAGAATATCCATGCTTAAGTTTCGAAAAGTGAATTAAACTCATTAACAGTACGGTTAATTTTGCATGCAGGTGTCCTTTAAGACGTATAATTGACCTCTGTTGTCAATTATTCAGTTCCCTCAACGTGATGTTATATACTTAATAAAAATGCATGGCTTTACGGTTGAAATTTATAATAGTTTATTTTAGGGGTTAAAATTCAGTGTCGGGTGTGTTTGTTCTTTACTTCGTCGATACGGAAAAACGAGTTTTTTTGTTTTCGTTTATTACAATAAAGGTCGTTATAAGCTATCACAATGTTTATATGTTATATACTCTTTATTTCCACATTTAAGTGATTTACATAATATTACAATGTTATAAAGTGAAAGCTAACAATTAAACATATATATAATTTTATGAAAACATAGGTGTTAATAGCATGCATAACATATTGGTTAAGTATAGATCAAATGCAACTTGAAATATAAAGTGAAAATAGTTTAAAAATCAAAATCTGGATTTTATACTTTAAATAAAAAAAAATACCAAATAGATATAGATTATATGAGTACATGAGTATTTACATTTTCATTATACATTTTTTTCTTGTGATTTACTTAAGATGATTATACAGCTATCACAGATGCCAGTATCGTATTTCCTTTCTAAAAAACTTAATTATGACAACGCATATTTTACATGGTACTTTTAAAGCAAAATCATCGTCTTTGCAAGATTTGTATACATCGTGCATTTATAATGCAATAGTAAACATAAGCATATTGGTCATCATTAATCGATACAGAACGAAACAAAATATGAAACTTGTGTGTAAACAATTGATAAATCTTTATTGAATTCTTTATGAATACACATTCACATAAAATGCTAATCTAATCTTTGATTATTAACAAAACATCAATATGAACTTTGTGTAAAAAAATTTGGTATTTTTATTGAATTCTTCATGATACACATTTATAATCATAAAGAGTACAAACGAAATCTACTTGTTACATGTAATATAATAATGTAATGTTTTTTGTTAACTTTTATGTTGCATGAATACATTAAAGACGGTTTTATAAGCTTCAACACCTTGTTACTTAACACATGATTATAGATATAAGTAATATAAGTACAGATTCAACTCGTCCTGAAGATGAGGAATCTAATTAAGTAAATTTGCACTCGAAATACTCAACACTAGCATGAAAACTTTATACAATAACATATCTGCTTAAACATATAATTTAGTTTTTACATGACAAGATGACGTGACTACAAGTAGTGTTTTCCTTCAATGTTTTAAGGTTATTACTCACTTACATTTCAATTAATTTGAGAGATTCTTCGGAAATTTACTATAAATAACTGAATTTATGATTTTTTTCAATAACAGTTAAAATATGATAAACAAGATCAACAATGAAAGGCGGCATTCAATGAGCGCATGACATTGACAGCATTTTTAATAAAGTTCAAGATTAATTTCATTCTTTTATTAATTAATAAGATAAAAATTGTTCTCCTCTTACATTACACTGATATTATAGTGCATTTATAAAATTACTTTAAATCTAACTTATGGAAGTACAAAACGTCTTCTTTGAACACATACATATAAAAGAAATTAGCATACTAGCAATTTTGATATGATTAAAACCAATGAAATTTATTTCATTTCAAAATGTCTATTTGAAAGAAGCATGCAATCGTCTTCTAACTAAAACTCGAACCATCATAGGTCCACTATGAAGTTTCCTCCACATTTCAACCTCTATTTCTAGACGATGACTGGGACAATCTTAATCATGTTATAGCTTTTCTATACTTTTTAATACTAATACTAACAGTATTGAATGTGTAGTAAAATATTGATTTTTTAACATGAAAATCCGAGCATTTATGTAAAGTTTCCATTTATCACTAAATCTCTTACTTTATATATTAAGATTTAATAAGATTTCTTTATACGCAAACTCCTCGGTTTTACAATTCTTTACAATTTTTTGTGAAAACCTAACCTGGATACATGCCCATTATAATTTTAGTTTTCTTTTCCCTGTGCTATGCCTTTTGCAACTACTTGACCATCTTTTTCTAATAACAATACTGGCCACACCATAAAATCGACATAGGTTCCTCTTTTAGTGTACTCTTTAAACATACTTTTATCAAATCTTTCGTCCGCTTCACATGTTTTGAAAGTCATTGGTGGAGACTGAACAACCATCATCCAAGACATTTCATGATGAAAGGTTTCAACACCTCAAGACATTCCGGATCCCAGTTTGCTTCAATATATGCGTGCATGTAAAAAAAAAATATTACAGGTAACTACAGGAATTTTGAAATGGAATTATGTAGTCTACTGATTTTAGATTGACTATCCAATCTATTAATAATAATAATAATAAATACCACATTTATATAGCGCCCTTTTCATTAAAATGTTCAAAGGCGCTTTACATCAATCATATATGTCTAAAACAATATAAATGAACAGGATTATGAACATTAAAAATATTTTGCATTAACTAATTAAAAGTATAAATTATGGAATTATTTTTACATATTAATACAATATAACTTAAAGATCCTTAAAACTCACTTTACAATATTATTGTCATACATTAAAATTGTCTTCAATATATAATAATAGATAAGATCTTGCTAAATCATCATTATAAAACAATAGAAATACTAAATTGATTTAAAAAATTGTTTGTTTAAAAAAAAACAAAAAAAAACTTTTTAATAAAACTAATATTCAAATAACAGATACTTCGTATTCACTGTTTATAAAATTCATTCATAACAGTCACTGATTATTTTCCATAAGCTAAATTGAAGTAGTGTGTTTTAAGATGTTTTTTGAAATTTTCTACTGTGTTACAGTTTTTTAGATGACTTGGTAGTGAATTCCATAGCTTAGGAGCTGATGCCGAAAAACTCCTTTCACCAAATTTCAGTTTAGTTTTTGGTTGCACTAATCGTACAGGTGCATTTGAAGAGCGCAGATTTCGGGAAGTGGAATAAACTTGAATCATTTCCTGCATATATGATGGAGATTGTTGTTTCAGTGACTTGAAAGTATGTAATAAGATCTTGTAATTCACTCTATATTCGATTGGCAGCCAATGAAGATCTTTCATCACTGGTGTAATATGATCTTTCCTAGATGTACGTTTAATCACACGGGCTGAAGTATTTTGAACAAGTTGAAGTTTTTTCATGGTTTGTTGAGGTTATACCATATAGAAGAGCATTGCAATAATCCAGTCTTGATGTCACGAGAGAGTTAACGAGTGTTTTTGTAGCTTCTTCGTTGATATATTTTCGAATACGTCCTATCTTACTTATTTGGGCATACGAAGATCTGCACACGGAGCTAACATGATGTTCCATATTAACCCTTGAATCAAGGAATGCACCCAAATTCCTTACACTTGATGACTGTTTGATTTCAACTTGGTCCACATTGACAGTTATATTTTTCACTGAGTCTGTATTGCTACCCGACGAAAAGACTATAAGTTCTGTTTTGTCTGAATTCAGTTTGAGAATGTTGCTGTTCATCCAGAATGTTATTTCTTTTAAGCAGTTTGAGACAGAATCAAGTACAAGTTCAGTTTTGGTGTTGTCCAACGGTTTGAAAGAAATGTATATTTGAGAATCGTCAGCATAGAAGTGACATTGCAGACCATGTTTTCGACAAATTTCGCCAACAGATTTTGTGAAAAGTATGTAAAATTTTGGTCCTAATACAGAGCCCTGAGGGACACTGTATGTCATATGCACAGGGTCAGATAGTTCTCCATCAATACAAACAGTCTGATAGCGACCACTGAGATAAGATCTACACCAAGCGAGCACTTTTCCAGTAAAACCAAAGTCACATTCGAGTCGATTAAGAAGAGTGTTGTGGTCAATCGTGTCAAAGGCAGCAGATAAATCGAGCATTACTAATATTGTAACTTCGCCTTTGTCAAGAGATTGGAGAATGTCATTTTGCACTTTGATAAGTGCAGTTTCTGTGGAATGAAATTTCCTGTATGCAGATTGATTTGGTTCATGTAGATTGTTAGTGTTGAGAAATATATCAAACTGACAGTCAGCCGCAGATTCTAGAAGTTTTGAGTCATATGTTTCATTAGCAACTGGTCTAAAGTTTTTCATAATTTCTTGATCCAAACTGTCTTTCTTTAATAGTGGTCTGATTATCGAAGTCTTATTGCGTGGAGGTACGTCGGCGGTGTAAAATGATAAGTTGAACATGTGCGTTAGATATGGTGATACTTCAAGTTTGCATTCTTTTAGGAGCCAAGTCGGTATCGGATCTAGTTCACATGATTTAGTAGATGACTTTGATATGAGCTTAAGAACTTGCTCTTCTGTAATAACTTCAAATTCACTGAATGTTTCTTTAGGCTTTTGTATTTGAGTTGAATTAGATTCATTTGTTATATTACATTCATTTTTAGATGCTATGTCAGATCTGATCTTTTCAATTTTGTTTTCAAAGAAATCACTAAAATCTTGAGCTAGTTCTTTAGGAGAAGTGTGTGATGGGAGCTTAACTTCAGGTTTGTTTCCGAGGAGATGATTTGTTACTTTGAAAATTTGTTTTTGATCATTACCACACGATTTTATTTTGTCTTTGTAATATGTTTCACGAGATCTTTCAATTACATCATTTACAACTAAGCACTGACTTCTGTATATTTCATGATCTACAGTTAATTTTGATTCCTGCCATTTTCTTTCAAGTTTACGTTTAATGTGTTTCTCGTCATGTATTTCTTGATTGAACCACGGGCATTGGGGTCTGAGAACAATTGTTTTTGTTTTCTCAGGTGCATGTTTGTCTAACAAAGATGAAAGGACAGTGTGATATTTCTCTGATGCTTCTGCCATGCTGTCTGGTTTAGGACCAAAAAGTTCAGATGATCTAATATCTGCTTTGAAATCTTCAATGTTTATATCACGTGATTTTCTGTATGTGACTGTTTTACGAATAGGTGGTGGTTTCGAAACATTAACTTTCATTAGGATAGCAAAATGGTCACGTGTTACTTTTCCGTTTGAAGTTTTAAATCCAGGATCAGTTATTTTAATATCAGATACTACATTTTCATTTTCTCTTGTTATGACTACATCTAAAATGTGTCCAGCTACATGTGTCGGTTCATTGACTAATTGTTTTAATCCAAATGTGTTCAGGATGGATAAGAAATTCTGCGCATCACGATTATCAAGTTTATCAATGTGAAAGTTTGTATCTCCTAGAAACACTGTGGTTTTGTCAGTTTCAGCATATTTCGACAGAAAATCAGGAAACTCATTGTTCAAGAATTTTGAAGTACTTAGGCCATTCGTTTTGGATGGAGGAGGTCTATATATTACAACAAGGCGGGTTGAAAAGTCACGAACACTAATGATACAGTCCATGAATTCGAATTGTTCAAAGTCTCCATCTTTACTTGACGAGTCAATTTTGATTTTTATTGAGGTCTTGTGAAGAATGGCAACACCACCACCTTCTCTCTTTAATCTATTGATGATAGACTAAGAAATGTTCGCCACATTTTACACGTCACTAGGAATGACGTACGTAATACTTTTCGTATGGAGATAGAAAATGCTTAAATTATAATCTTTTCAAAAGCGTCTTATCGTTTTATCAGCGATTCAATAAAAACGTCAGTGCATTTAATGAAATACTCGTAAAGTTGTGACAAAAAGTGGAAACTTGAATTGAAAAAATGGGCAGAGCTTTAAAGAGAACAAGAACCATTGATTAGTTAAATTTAATATGTTTGGTAATAATCCCATTTTGTTGCAGTTATTAATTATAACGCTATCTTAGAATAGGAGACCACCATTTATTTTTTAATGAATAAACATGCAATAATATCTCTTGAACAATCGGCAACATTGATACAGCAACCTCTTTCCTTAGTTGAATAAGTTTACTTTCAGCTTTGATTTTCAGTTTATCTTTATGGCCAACCTAAAATTCAATTTATATGTTCCTTTGGATTTTATATTAACTTATTGCCATGAAGGATGCCAACGTGTATAGCACAATTAAATGATAAAACTTTGATAATATAACCCAACAACTGGCCATAAAGTTGACAAGAACATCTGCAAACTTTGCCCTTCATCTTAATTTGTTTCTTTTTTTCCCACTTATAATGCACTTATTGGTGTTTTGTGGTTACTAAATTTTTTATGTGAACATCACTTCGCACTTTACTGGAACAGACAGAACAAAGGTAGACCTTTGATGTATGTACTGTTTAAGTTACGGGTGAAAACCTGAAATTCCCTACCGATCTTATTATTTCTAGTAAGAGACAAATCTTTGTACATATTTAATATTGGAATATAACTTTTAAAACGTTAAATACCATTTCAGATCTGGCCGAGGACTCCTTCCTTATCTGTGATACAACTACGGAAGATTGCTCCTTAGGCATGTTAGGCTTCCATCTTTGCTGCAGTTGTATTTCGGGAAGAATGCACTTTCGTTTGCGATACTAAAATTAAAATTCAAAAATCTTTTCAAGGTTGTCAATGAGAGAAAAAACCCGATAAATACCCTGAAATACGTAGAGAAATGATTTACACGAGTATATAGGTAGTCTTAAGAAGTCTCCTTTTGGGAACTTCATTTCACTATTTGAATGTTTTATCTCTTATGAACCGTCTCAATAAAGCCGGACCGCAATTTTACCCTTTTAATTTGGAGTGTACTGCATTCGAGACTCTCTTCTTTTACATCATTTTCCTTGTTAAATTATCGCAACATTTCCAAATGAAAATTCCGTCTTTAAGGTATCAAAGCAATTCAAAAGCAAGTAAATTCTTGTATTTTTGATTCAATATGTTAATCATATAAAACACAACTTTGTTGAAATAGTCTCTATAAAACTTTGAAATCGCACTGGCCCTGCACGACAATATAAAAGTGTTTAACGCGCAGTTTGAAAACTGCCATATCAAAACATCTGCGGATGTTTCAAAATAAAAATTGTACCAGTGTGTTGATCTAGTGTCTTCTGTTTTATTGGGGCTTTACATGAACTGCAATTGCTAATAGCAAGCATGCTAATCTAGCTCCGACTAATTTAGATAACTAAATAATATACCACAAACGACAGTGACTTATAACAAAATATCTTACATTTTGTACTCGAACTGTCAAATGGGAAGGTACCTAAAAATTAGAAAAATGTCATATTTCAGTACTGTTTTAATCACAATGGATAATACTTTTAATTGATTTGTAATATTTTTATCAGAACCTCAAACTGATAAAAACTTTAATTTCATGCATCAGAAATATTTTCGGCTCAAAGCAAATGTTCCATAAAAGGAAAAACACATTTCTTTAATATTCATTCATTATTCAATTTTATTTTTTTATCTTGATTAATCACAAAAGTAGTGCATTAATGTAAACGTTGCACTTCAGCCACGACAACCGTACTATTTTAATTAGTATTTAGTTAATGTGTGATAAAAAGAATATTAAATTCGTGTAGATTCAATGCATGCTAAATCTATTCATCTCGTCCAATAAAACAATGATGCTCGCCAAAGGCTCGCAGATTTTTTTCAACTCGTTTAATAAATTAAGTATATAATCTGCACTTAATCAATATATTTTGTATAATTCACTATCTGTTGGTCCGGTGATATGTAGTTATTCAATATTTTTCATGTTTATTGCACGTTTAGACTTAAAGTATGACCTTCCTAATGGGTACTATTATAAAGCGTAAAATTGACGACATCGATCACTTATATGCCTTAAAGAACATATGTATGCAAAAATTAAACAAAGTGGACGGTATGAGTTATTGACATTTTTTTATCAAAAATGTTGCTAATAGAGGAATGAGTGAATTGTTATTAATCTCATATCATCATTGAAACATGTTTTCCTATTGATCTTTGTCAAGAAACAAGTAATAACATTCAACTAACAAATCACACAAGCAAATGCTTGTTGCTACAAAAAAATGTACAAAACTGTTACCCTACCCCACCAATTTTTTACTCTTGTTTGATTATTTTCCAACTTAGAGAGCCTTATTTAAAACATTCCTAAAATTTACCAAAGGGGGTTGTTTTCAAAGTTTGCATACATTTTCTTAAAAAGTATATTGGTTAATCTTGTCAAATATAAAATACCTTTACCATATAATTTTTATTTTATTAACTTTGAAAATATCAGATACCATATTTTCAATTTAATTTTGCATTTTTAGCCAATAAATACCTATAATAATCATATTCTTAAAATTAAACACTTTTTTGACCACTAGGGATCTGAGATATACATAAAAATATTAAACGAAAGAAAAGAAAGAAAAATATGTTTGACCTTTATGAGGCTTGAACCTAAACCCCTCAGTTTTATTGCATTTGACAGTTATTCTAGCCTTTATTAACACCCTTCAAAGCGGAGGTAGTGGATTAGGTAGATATCATACCTTAAGCACCATGCAATTTATAATATATGGCATTATATTACTTTATTTTGAAAGTAAAATCATACCGCTGAAACAACTGCCTGCTTGTAATCATCAAAAAGTAAATTCACTGCATCTGTTGATTGCCTTAGAACCATACCAGCTTTGTTCTCGCAAAATTTATAAATATTCTGAAAACATAGGTACGCATTTATTAGGTGAAATTTGGAATTAAATCTTTAAAATAAACAAATTTGCAAATGATACGATGTCTAAATCAGAATTTGAGAGATAAGATTTGCAGCACTTTTGTGATCTTACAGGCTATCGTGTACTTCACATGATACTGAATAATCAATTTGTATATGACACCATAAATATATATGTCCACGCAAACCCTTTATAAAACGGTACCCATTTGTGCTTTCTAGAAAACATATATATATGTATCCTTAAAACCGACAGTTTTGTAGCTAACTGATAAGCATCATAGTGACCATACAAATACTGATAAGAATCATAGTGACCATACCAATAATGTAAGCTTCAATGTTTCTATAGCGATATCGTCTTCATGTCCGTTCTGATGCAATACATCAAGAGCATTTGTCCATTCATTGTCATTTAGTTCACTGTAAAATTCTCCAAGTTTTGTTGGTCTGTTTGGATCACTTAAATCAGTAATTGCTGGATTGTTGTCTACAAGTCTCTATCCTGCCAGTTTACTAAGCCTATAGATGACCAAATATATAAAATGCTAAATAAGTCTCTTTTTAAATGGCGATATTATTTTTCTTTAAATTAGAGGAAAACGGAATACTTATAGAACGCCCAAACCGACAAAATTGAAAATGTTTAACTCAAAGTTAGATTGATCCGGATCATGGACGGTACTGATACGTGCAAATAACCGCCCACGCACACCAGCACCGGTATAATCAAAACAAGAAAATGGTAAAATATTGAATCTAGAAACATCCGCTGATGTGTAAGACTGAGTATAAAATGCCTTAAGACCGTTAAAAGTTTATGAGTATAAATGATCAACCTTGATGATTTTGCCCGATATAACCATATTTTTTCATTTTCTTGAAGTCCAAATATAGAAATAAGTACATGTGTATTATTGTTAACAGACATAACCATTTCATAACATGATACAAAATATTTGGAGATTATGTAAATATAACACACCATGTTTATTGTGTGGTTGCCTTGTTTAAGTATCAGTTTTACATATTCATTGTTTAGCAGAAATTAGTTGTGAAATTGTATCATTTTTTATTTTATCTTATCATGCGCTTTGTCAATGGCAACACTAGCTTGACAACTTAAGATAAGAAGGAAATCTTACAGAATTCCGGAAACCTGCAAAAATGGTATTGTTCCAGACTTGATTTGATTGAGCCAATACATTCAAACTTTGCAAATCAAATCATAAGTTTCTTGTGTTTAAGTATTTTGAATTGGTATTTAACTTTAACGCTATTTTAAAGAAGCTTCTGATTGCAACGTAAAATCAAATTTTATATTAAAAGCATTTGCATGACCTGTACATTTGCATAGTCATTATAAACCATGAATGACAAAAACTTCTTCTAAAAGGTGTTTCAAATATATGTTCTTTATATAAGATAGCACGTATGAATTTTCAAATAATTGAGAAGAGATTGATTCCAATTAACTGAATAACAAACCTGTAAACCATATTGGAAAGTATCTAAAAGGACTTCCAGCTAGGATTCAGAAGTTATTATTTAACTATGTTTTATCCTGGTGAAATTCATTTATTTTTTATACTTATAAAACATAATTTTACCGAAGTCGGAGATCATTTCTTTCTTCTTCAACTAAGTTATTTTGTAATTTCAAACTGTCAACATTTGACCTTAGGAATAGCACTTCAGCATCTTTGTCTGTCAACTGTTGTTGTAGTTTTCGAATCTTCTGCTCATAGTCATGTTCTTGCTTTAATAAAGCATGAGATCATATTGTTTAATCAATGTCAATGTTGAATGAGGGTATTGCATGATGGACTATTGAGTATATTGCACTGTGGCATACGTGAATTGGACTCTTAAATCTAAAGTTAGATAAAAGAATTATCTGTATAAAACAAGTAAACCTTTCGTTAAGTTTTATCACAGTCCTATGTGTCATTTTGACTCTTTCAAAGTGCTTTTATCCTCCATGTTTTAAATGGTTTCAAAAGGAAGTTGTGTAACCCTAGATATCTGCTGTGTGTATTGAAGAGTGTCAGAACACATTAAATAGGAGGTTTTTGCTGTTAAAATGTAAACATCAATTGATAATACCACATTTTTTTTTTGTGTGGGTAACAAAACTTTGTCATGAGGTGATTAACCTTTAAAACAAGGAAATTCCCTTGTTAGCACCGAAAACAAAATGTTATATGTTAAAATTACAGATTCGTTTGACTGACTTTGTTGATATGAGATCCTGATAGAAGCACCCTCTCCTATGCGCCTTAGCAATGGCTGTAGCTGTTAGTCTTATTTAGGTAGACACAAAAGAGAAATTTCCTTATTTGTTGTTTTTTTTTGTTGTTGTTTTTTATTTTTATTTATTTATTTTTTTTTTTAATTTTTTTTTTTGCGAAATCCCCGCATAACCGCTAAGTGTACTTCCCTGTATAATTGCATTAATCATTACTATAGGAACAAACGAGCACATGCGAGTTGAACCACGGCCATTAATATCAGCTGCGAAACTACCTAATTCACAGGCAGTATTGAAACGAATTGTTGTGATGACCAAACTATTTTGCCTTTGGGGCCTCAACAACTCAACTACGGAAGCTATGAGAAAATACTACTTGAACGATGTAGACCAACAATAACACATTTAAATGCTTAGATGAATCATTTGACAGAGAGATGCATTTTAATTGAAAGTTCAAGATAAGTATTATTAAGGAAATAATTGCACCGTGATATGAAAACAAAATCCTTACACAATTTGAAGTAATTACGTGCAAGTAGTGGTGTACTTGTCATTTGATATTCATAATATTAGAAATTGACACTACATTTCCTGACTAAAGCAGATGAATGGTATGCCTACTTTGCTTTTTGACATTTTGTCCTCATTTGCCGAATGTTTTGAAGCCAAATGGACTCGTTGGTTCCTATTCCGTAGGCAAAATAAAGAAAAACAAGTTTATTAATGTTAAGATTAAGTAATTTTGATTAACATGTAAAGAATTTTATTCATTTCAATTATAATATAGGACAGATATACAGATGTTCAAAGAGACTTATTGGATTATTTATATTATCTCGTGGCAACTTGATATTACAAAAAAAAACAAAAACACATAGTAACCTCGTGGCCACGAGTTAGCTCTTATCATTTGATTGGTTACATATAACTGTTATCATTTCATCGGTAACATATTTCTCGGCTTTCCTTCTTTCTACGTTTTATTATCTCGTGTCTACGAGTTAGATTTTCTCTTTGTGTTTGTTTTTCATTTGTTATAATCTCGATTAACCCTCTTGTTCAGTTAAGAATAAAGGTCCCATGAATTTGTTCCTTTTATTTAAAGCAAACATCATGAAGTCCAGTTCTTAAGAATTTGTAAGTGTTGATACAATAATCATGAATTTGCGAATATTTAACAAATACAAGAGTGTTATGTTAATTCAACAAGTGAAAAGTATCCTGTATTTAAATAACAATATAGTAAAAGTATAGTGCAATTATTGTTTGAATAAGAGCAAAGTATGATACATTTGCATCAAATATAATAATAATGTAAACTTCAAAATTAATTCACTGAATATTAACGATTCTTACACTAGCGGTTTTGTTTGCTCGTTTTTGTTTTTTGTTGTTGTTTTTTCGTGTGTTTTTTTATATTACTTATATGCATCTTGTCAGCTAGTTACAAACATATTACAATGAATAAATAATACCTTTGATTCAGCTCGCTTACACATCCCTCTAACTTTGAAATGGTCGTTTGCATATCTTTACATCGCATCTCAAGGTATTGATTTTGTTGTTGAAGTTGTTGTTTGTCTAAAGTCAAGTATTTTATGGTATTATTTGACCTACATAGCTCGTCTCTCTCAGATATATAACTCGTGCGCCTTTCACGGTATTTGTTACATGGCTAAGTATTGAAAAGAGTATTTACAAACATTTAAGATAGGGATTTTAATGTTTAACAAAGAATACTTTTTCATACTTTAACGAATTATATTCCGATGACATAACCATTTCAGATTACCACCTGTCAGGTTTGATTTTGCAGAGTTTTATGTGTTACATACAAAAAATGTTTTTGTTTCTTTTTAATTAAATTGATATTTATATCCCAAAATAAAATATCTGCAGTAAATATTTTAAGAGTATGTATGACGATTAACCCCTCAGTAGATATGTTAACATCTTAAATAACATCAGCACAATGGTATACGTTTATATTAATTGAGGAAGTAACTAACTTCTGTATTTGATATGATTTCATATTGTATCATTTAAAACTGACACCACATCAAATAAATTAAATCAAAACAATCTATCAGGATATTATATCCTATGTCATATGCTATTTGTGTACAATATTTTACCATTTGCTTTCTTATTTTATTCCACCTTTCTTCTGTCCCATCAAATGCATCGAAAATAAGATGATCTAATGATGCGTTTTGTCGTTGCCCATTAATTTTTTAAAGATATCGTCCCATGTCTTAATCTCTTTCTTGATAAAATCAAGCAGATCTTGTGCACTAGGTTTTATAACTGAGTTTCCCATTTAGCCTAAAAATCATACGTATACATAAAATTTCTTAAGGCACAGTTTGACATAAAAAACCTGAAATCGAAACAGAAAGTATCAGGAATAACAGTATTTATATTGTTATTGTTATATATGTTTAAATTTAATATAGATATAAATATATGATATATTAAATATTATAATTAAGCCTTTTTAATGCAAATAACTCACCTGCAATTCTCTAACTCCACGGAATACATGTAATAAATCGACACGCACTATTCCAGTAGTAGATATAATTGATATTGTAAGATAAAATATTCATATTCAGTTCACAGGTTATCTAATCCAAACATTTTATCATTTTATCATTTATCGGCTTGATATTCAGAAGTTTAAACCAAACGAGAATTCTCAAAACGCAATACTTGTTGATATAAAGATAGACATTTACAGGTATAAGATAATACTTTAAACATTTTGTTAAAATGTTTTTCTCCTAAAGACATAAATAGCGATTTGAGAAAATATTAAGTTTCAACGTAAGTGTACTAGATTATTTGTACAAATCACATTAATTGACTAATAATCAATAGTGTAAATGTCCTCAATGTAAACAACGCTTCAAGTTTTTGAAAGTGTTATGTGACTAATGATCATTGGTTTATTAACAAAGAATATCACAGAAACAGATACGTCAGTTTTGTAAGCAGTAAGGGGGAAATTTCTCATCCAATATTCATATAATTATATATACATATTTAATATTTAATGTTTCATTATTGTAATAAGTGCTCTTGTATTTATAAACTAAACGACTTTTTTCAGCTTAAAAGTTTTGATGTTCTAAAATGCACGTTTTTCCCTTTTTTCCTTTGTGGAACTTTTTTATTCTTATTGGGGATTGTTTAGATAATGTTTCCATTTGTATAGTTACCTATGGCCTTTAAAACACGAATACAATGACTGAATAAATGCGTTCATGATGATATTTAATAACTTTACCTTCATCTTAGAAGTATTCATATTTCAGTTTGAAACAAATTTAGGCGATTGAATGATGGTATAGTGGTTTACGATTAAAAAAGTATGTTATGTGTGCCACTAAATATATCGCATAAATGTCCCAAGCACAGCAGATTATGTAGCACATGCTTATTAAATAAGCATAATTATAATTATTAATTAATTATAATTAATTATTTCTCAAATTTTGAGAAATCATATATTCTTCATAAACCAATCAAGTTCTTTTGCTCATGACGTGCTGAACATTTAAAAATCATATTAATAAGATGCTAAAACAAAGTATGGCTAAAACATCATGAGTTTTAAATACCTCAAACATACTTATTTTATATGTATATATTTGACAACAAATTGTTGTCCTTATATATCGTTTAATACATAGTTGAAACACATTAAATTTGTTTTCTTTGTAAGAGGATTTTTAAGTCATTTTACAGATCTCATTACTACGTAAACAGTCACGTTTTCCTGCTAATGGTGGTCTAGTGGGTGTAAACAAGTAAACAACTACACACAATGCGTGAAATTGCAAACATCGTACTTTATTGTTTCTTATGGAAAAAAATATCCAATGAACAATGTGTACTTGACAGGATATCTATAATTTATTAAAATAATAATTGCATATTCACATTATACAATTTGTCAAACGAATGCTTCATAATATTTGCCAAATATTATCATAAATATTATTATTAATTATTAAATAATCATCAATCATAACGAAATTACATGAAAATTGCAAACTCGGTTCGATTGAGTCTAAACATGAGGGATAATGAAAACGTACAACATCACTCACGACCCTAGCACCTAAAACATATCCTTATACCTGGAAATGAAATGTTCTTGTATGTACGAATGTTATGCATAACATTCTCTTGATAGAGGTTGCATCCCTTCAGCTGCGCCCTTACAGACAAGAGGACCACCTTCCTGTAAAAGAAGCGCTGGCAAAACGACGTATTTTACTACTGGCCCGGATGTAATATATTCTTTATATAGCATTTATCAAACGGCACATCTGATCTTTCAGTTGGAAGTTCGTGCAGAACCATTCTTGGGGATTGAACAGTCATCTTCCAACAGAGGTAAACACATTTTAAAATGAAAGGTTTAAGATCTTCTATACAATTATCATTCCAGTTGGTCGCTTTCAAATACCCCTAAAATCAGAAAAAAGTCATTTGAAGTCATCTTTATCACTTATTTGGCTCTAGTACATGTCTAAAGAATATTGTCTTCCAACAGAGTTTCGGATTATTTCGATCCTCGGGCGAGACGGGTAAATTGTTTCGGACATTCATGTCTGATGGTGATTTGTTTCCAACTTACAATTAAGAAATCACATGTAGTTAGTAGTCAGCCATTTATGAATAAATGTTTATTATGATAATTTATCCAGATGGGCTGGTTATGTGGACCGACCGCCGAAATATGGCCAGTAATGTTTTGAAATCGGCGTAAATAATAACTAACGAAACAAACAAACTAAAGAATAGTATACTGATATAGTTGTAAAGGCAATTTTGTAAAATGATGGAAACATTCAAAAATGACAAAATTACATTACGATTCTTGACATGACACTCCATTTTAATGTTTGATAAGAATAATAGATCTGCTCTTTCAGTTTGAATTTGAATTCATGAACATCAAAGGTATGATATATTTAGATACTTGTATTCACCATCTTTACGAGTGGAACAATTTCGACTGATATCTCCTTTGTGAACCTTCTGACTGTATCTCTTATATCAACTGTTGCATTTTCTTCTGTAGTTACCTTGTTTACATATAAATGTGTGTTTTACTCAATTTTTTGATGATTTCATAAGATTGACTGATGCCTATATGCATAATAGAATTTAATATGTACAAATGTGTAAAATTTTCTTTCATTTTTATAACAAAAATAAATGCCACTTATCGAATTAAAAATAGTTGAGGAGTTAAAACATATCTTCTATTAGGAACAGATTTTATTATAATTTTCACTGCAAACTGAAATCTAGATCTTATCTTAGAAAATTATTCAAAAATAACTTCTTATTACGGTCAATACCTGTTTAGGGTTTTTAATCTCTGATCTTTTTTCATTACTGACTTTAGGCGACCATATTTCACACACGTTATATGGTTGACATGCTCCGAAAGAATGTATCTTCAGGAAAAAACTGTCGTTTTCTTCAAACAAGTTGTTAATGGTATCAAGTAATCCTATGACAAGTTTGTCTGCGTTAGCTTCACAATACGTCATCACGTGCTTTGAAAAAACAAATAATTAAGATTATTAAATTGTAATGCTTTATCATAGGTCTACATACCTGAAAGCTGAGAGGACTGTAGTTAATAATTGTTAAGGTTTACATATTCACGGAGGTATTCTAAAGGAAATATACTTAACAACAAATATAATGCTAGTTCAATTTAATCGTTTTATTGTTCTCTGTAGATAAGTAAATTGGGAACCTGAATGTGTACTAACATATCTGTACTGCTACTGTTGATTGTTCAATTTCATTCAACCTATCTTTGAAACATCAGTAAACAAATACTGTCGATTACTCCTACTAAAATATGTTATATAATACCAACTTCGAATATTTACAAAAGTCGCGTGAAAACAATAAAATAAAATCTATCAATCCATCGTTAATACTGTCCATATTACAAAATAACTTTCGAAATACATGCATTACCTCATTATTCTATAAAATGTTACTTTACTTTTAATGTGAGATTAAGGATCGTAATTGTCTCATCATCGGTGTATCCAGCCTTTAACAATGCATCATACGCGTCTGTCCATTCATTGTCATAGAGTTCACTATATAACACTCCGAGCTTAGTAGGTCTGTTACCATCACTAAGGTCGGTTATAGCTGTATTGTTATCTGTAAGCTTATCTCCTGGCAGTTTACTTAACCTGGTGAAATTAATGAACATATATTTAGCAAATTGTAAAAAACGATATTCTGTATAAATATTTTATAAGTATTTGTACTGAATCCTTACACTGAACAATATCAGATGATGTATACAGTACATTTTAATGTTGTTAAACGTTATGATGTAAAGTGAATCAGACACGTGTGAACATATCACATATGGCATTTCCCCATAAACTATCTAATAAAGAAAGGAAAACTTTTAGAACCAAATCATTATATACCTTTATGTCATTTACATTTAAACATTTAGGGAGAATTGAGGCAATTTGAAAAGTACATACAGTGTAACTAAATATTTACCGGATAAGGTGATCATCAGCTTCAGGTTGCTTGGCTTGGTTTTCGTCCCTTTTTGTTTGTTGATAACCTTCAGTTTGCATGGACATGTTAGAAGTAGGATATTGCTAAAATATTAAATAAAAAATATAAAATCATGCAAATACTTTAACACAGAAATATTTTTTACATCCGCATTATTTATCCTATACAAACTTTTTCGACATCTTTTGATCATTTTGTTTTCATCAAGTAATTACATATCCATTTACAACATCAATTGCGTAAGTATGATTAATTTTGTCCAAGTTGACTCGTTAAACACATATTGCTTTTAAGACTGGAATTCATTAAGTTAGGATACTTTATGTCCCTTCCGACGAATAAATGGAATCCGCGGGTTTTTGTTTATAATCATGCTAATTAATCAGACATGCTAATCTACAACTGTAGATTTGCAAATAATTGCAGGTTGTAAAACTCTAAATAGAATATGAAAATTTCAAGACAAAAACCTGAAAAGCTTTTTAATCTATTGCTTTTTGGTTATAATTTGATTATTTCCGAAAAATTTGTATAGTAACCTTATAATTAGATATATACCTGTTTTGCATAGAATTTAAAATGTTGTTAAGGAGAAATTATATACTTGCTCTGATGTAAGTTACAGATTTGGACAGCTCTTAATCTGTATGTTAACGTGGTGCGTTACCTTTCCTGTTTCAAGTTTTTCAAATCCATCGATGTCCTGTTTCTCTCTTGAAAGATAAAAATAAAGTTGATAGGATGATTATATAAAACGTTCGTTATGACTTTGTTATTACTAGCTAATGTTAAAATGTATCCATGACGCACAATGAAATAAGATCAGAGGCTATCGATTTAAATTTAAATATTATATTTAAAGGACATTTTAAAAATTCATATCCAAAAATCGAAAAAAAACATTTTGTGCAGGAAAATCGTTTTTCTTAAATTAATTTTTATAATTCATTTCTAGTTATGCGTTTGTAAACATGTTATGGGATTCCCATATTTTCTTGACTATTTTCTTCTAACTATTTTTTATCAAGATAATTTTGAAACAATAAAAACAAAACAGCATTCTTTGATCTCAATTGAACATACCGAGCCTGTGTTGTATTCAATATCTTCTCTAACTCCTTGATACGATTTTCTAATTTATCATTGATATTGTTCAGTTGTTCGATCTTCAGCTTGTTTTCTTTCTTTCCTTCCTCGAACGTGTCCTCCAATTTCTTCATTCGTTCAACAAAATTATTATGAATAGATTTCGCAACACAATCGACGTGTTGTTGATAACCCTAAAGGAGATGAACATATTCCATGGACATATTAGTTAAACTTTATGTTAATTGCCTTATTTTTTTTAATGCAAACTGCATTACATTTGACCAGATTTTTAATACACGTAACTTCAGTATGCATATTAGCAAGATTGGCCGATTTTATTTCAGTTTTAATAACATAACATTTTAAGCATGGATGTACAACTGTGTATATTATAATTAGAAAATGCTGAACATGTCGTATAGCTGGTTGCACAGGCTAATGAGTCATACACGCTATATTCAAAAAGAATGACAAGTCAACATGTATATACATATATTAAGGTTTTTATTTCATAGTGTGAACTCTGGAACATGACATGATTTATGTGTATTATAGTGCAAGATACATACAAACTGAACTTATGTCAAAATGATAGATAACGTATTTGTAAGTCGGCTAGATTTCATAACATTTTATGTGTAAACTGTCACTATATATTTTGGGCCAGATATTCAGTCCAGGAGTTCAGCTTTGGTATTCCACTCGTTCACTTGTGTGTTTGTATTTGTATATTAAAAGTATGTAACATCCGTGAGTTCTTCCTACGTTATACGACAATGGTTGATTTGGCGCCTAAGACCAGCGATGTCGAAGCGACGATTTTGGATAGCAGGACACAACGAAGTACCTGTAACAGAAAATTAAAGGTGAGTGATCGTTAATATACCAGTAATTTGCTAATTTTGAAGATGTCAGATCAAGAAATAGCTACAATTTTTTGAAAAATTTGTCAGATAAATTGAAAAATATTTCAACTGTCATAGGTACACAGGGTTTATCAGAAATAGTACAAAATTTTGATGGAAATTCTAAATATTTTAATGACTGGATAAAAATCTATAGAAAAATATGCTATTTTAAAAGGTTTGGATGATAATAAAATAAAATTAGTCGCATTTCAATCAAGTAAAGGGACTGTAAGCGATTTTATATGTAGATATTTGCGTGATAATCCTCGTAATTCGTGGGAACAATTAAAAGAAGATATAAGTACTAGATTTGGGGAAATTAAAGATTTACATCATGAATTTTATCTTTTGAGAAATTTAAAACAAGATTTGGGAGAAAGTGTTCAAATTTTTGGGGAAAAATTTATTAATTGTGCTGAAACCGCTTATGAAAATTATAAACTAGGAGATAATAGTTTAATTGAACTTCAGTTAGTAGAATTGTTTACGGATAATTTAGCGCATAATTATTTAAAACTTAAACTTATGAGAGAAAAGTCAAAAACTTTACAAGAAGCAATTACTTGCGCAATGAATGAACAGAATTTCAGAGCTAGATTTTCTGCCAGAGTAAAATTTTCTAATTCTCAAAATCACGCAAAATACAATAATTACAGAGCAAATAATTCTAATCATTATTATACAAGAAATTTTTGCGTGTACTGTAAGAGACCAGGTCACCATGTTCGTAGTTGTAGATTTAGGAAAAATGAAATATATTCTGTATTTCACCGACAAAATTTTTCACGATTTAGGAAAAATAATAGCAATAATAGTTTGAAATCAAAGATTAAGTGCTGGAAATGTAATAATTTTGGTCATATTATGCGTGAATGTCGTAAACAAAATTTTTACGACAGAAACAAAATAAATTTTCAGGAAAACTAGCAAGTTCCTGTCACAAAGGGGTCATTGACAGGAACGATAAAATACCAAAATTTAGTATAGCATTAGCTGGAAGCCCTAATTCGTGTTTGATTAAAATAGAAAAATTATAAATACAGATCGTTAGTAGATTCAGGTGCTGAAGTTTGTCTTCTGCATCGCAGAATATATAGAAAATTGAAGAATCCCCTCAACTTATAAACAGAAAATAAATTTATGTTCAGTTGACGGAAATTATTTACATATAGATGGTTATATAAATCTAAATTTTCAAATAGGGAAAACAGAAACAACTCAAAAATTCTATGTTGTTTCTAAAATGAATAGAAATATTATTTTTAGGCCGTGACTGGTTAACACAAAATGGCGTTAGATTATATTTTGATTTAGGCTGCTTAAGAGTTAATAATACATATGTACCCTCGAAGAAGATATTCATATTGCATCAATTGTTAGATTAAAACAGGATGTTATTCTGAAACCTCAAACAGTTAATGTGTGCACTGCTAAGTTAAAACAAAATCCAGGCTTGGGAAAATGATAAATTATATGAATTAAAAAGTATAGAAACTGGAATGATTGCTTCTGAACCAGGTCTTATGATAACAAATTCTGTTATGAAACTTTCGGCTGATAGAAGATTTCCTATTATGATTGTCAATAATACACATAAAACTATAAGATTGAAACGAGATTCAGTAGTTGCTAAAGTTTCAGAAGTTGAGAGCATTAACTCGGTCACAGAGGCTCTTCAAAACAACTTCCCCTCTTAACAACGATTTCGAACGTGATATTCATACACCTTCAGAGCATTTTAATATTGTTAGAGACTTATTAAGGGAAAAATAAAAATATTTTCGCAAATAAAGATTCTGAATTATCACAGACAGATACTGTAACCATGAAAATACCAACAGGTAATCATCCTCCAATCAAATTAAGCCCATATATCGCACACCTTTAAACAATAGAAAATTTATGAGTGACGCAATAGATGAGATGTTAGATGCTAATATTATAAGAAGAAGTCATAGCCCTTATTCATTTCCTGTTGTTGATTGTCGGGAAACGTGACGGCAGTAAACGGTTTTGTGTTGATTTTAGACAATTGAATAAAATTACAAAGCCAACATCATATCCTCTCCCATTAATTGACGATATTTTAACTCTACTAGGGTCTTCAAAAATATTTTACAACACTAGACATGCGCTCAGGGTTTTGGCAAATACCCGTGCATGAATCAGACAAGGGAAAAAACGGCTTTTACGACATTCCGAGGCTTGTCCGAGTTCAACGTAACACCTTTTTGGCCTAGTTTCTGCCCCTGGAGTTTTCCAAGAACTCATGTCACATGTCTTACAAGGTTTAGAGGCATTTGCTGTCAGTTATCTTGACGACATTCTAATATTTTCCGAAGTCATTAAATGAACATTTATCACATATACAGACAGTATTTTCAAAAGCTTAAAGAGCATAAATTAAAAACTTAAACTGAAAAAGTGCAGTTTTATTCAGCAACAAACAAAGTACCTTGGTTTTATAATTGATCATGAAGGTATAAAACCAGACCCAGACAAAGTAAAAGCTATTAGGTCACTTCCGGTACCAAAATGTGTTAAAGATGTCAGATCTTTACTTGGTGCTGCTGGTTTTTATAGAAGATTTTGCCCTAAATATTCTAAAATTGTTGAACCTCTAATCAATCTTACAAGAAAACGTGTTTTGTTTAAATGGACAAAAGAATGTCAAGAAAGTTTTGAACAATTAAAGAAAAATGTTAACACGTATTCCACTTTTAGCATTTCCAGACCCAAATAAGCCTTATATTCTATACACGGACTCCTCAGATTTAGTGGTCGGAGCATGTTTTAAGTCAGAAATGTGACAAATCTGGTATTGAAAAACCTATATACTTCTTATCTCATAAATTAAGTGAATCTCAAAGAAAGTACAGTACCATAGAAAAAGAATCATTCAGTATTCATTATGCGTTACAAAAATTAGATGTTTATTTACATAATGCAGAGTTTACTATATTTACAGACCATAAACCTTTAAAATATCTTCTAGAAGCACCTATGCAAAACAAAAGAATTCAGCTTTGGGCTTTAAATATTTCTGCCTATAACTGTAAAATTGAATATTTGCCAGGAAAATTAAATTTAATTGCCGATTTCTTTTCTAGACCTCCAGCTGATGATAAAAATGCTAACAAGTCTGATATTGAACTTTATGAGCCTGATATAAATGACAATGCCTTCGAAATAACAGTCTTAAATTCAAGTAATAATTCAAATAATGATAATGCACATGCTGTGAAAACTGATGAAAGCTATGAAGTAAATGCTTTTGATTCTACACACTTTAATGCCAAAGAAATAGCAAACAAAGAATACCAATTTCAAGAGCCAATTGTAGAAGATATTAAACAATTGGAAAAATTAAATATGGCTTCAGAGCAAGATAAAGATCAAACTATTCTTGAACTGAAAATGTTACTACGTCACGGACAGCCAACTAAATCAGTGCAGAGCAAATATTTAGAAAATTGACCAAGTTCTTTATTATCTGTCTAATGTAGATGATAATCTAATCTTAGATTGTTTGTTCCGCAACACTTAAAACACCTTGTCATTACTCAATATCATTTAAATAATGGTCACCCAGGAACACAGAGGTTATTTACAACAATAAAACAAAAAATATTTTGGCCAAATATGTTCAAAGAATTGTATGAATATGTTTCTAAATGTGTTGATTGTCAGTCACGTAATCTTACAAAAATAAAAGCACCTATGGGCGAAACAAGAGTACCAATGTATTCATTCCAGACCATGAGTATCGACGTTATTGGGCCCTATGAGAAACAATGAGTGGTAACCGCTACATTATTTGTTTTATTGACCTTTACAGTGGTTATCCCGAGTGTTTCCCTACTGCTGACAAAAGTACTGATACAATTATACATTTACTATTAGAAGAAATTTACCCTAGATACGCATGTCCATTACAAATTGTCACCTGACAATGGATCAGAATTCACAAGTAATGCTTTCAAAGAAACACTTAAAGGGTTAAGAATTGATCACGTGCGTACAACTACCTATCATGCTGCCGGAAACGCGAAAAATGAACGTTCTCACCATGTCATACATGATATCTTAGCTAAAAGAATCCAGGGAAATCTCAAACAATGGATATTCATCTTACATGACACTAGCCGCACTTAGATTCAATGTCTCTAGGACTTCAAAGCATAGTCCATTTTATTTGTTATATAACCGTGAGGCCACATTACCGGTGGACCTGTTGCTACAACCAAGGCAGCGCTATCATGGCGAAGAGTATCACAAAATTGCATTACATAGAACAACATAATACTTTTCTATCTGTTTATAAGAACCTTAAAAAAGCTAAACGAGAACAAGCTAGCTATGCAGATAAGACCGCAAAAGATATCAAATTTGAATAGGCGATCCCGTATTTTATAAGAATTTTCGTAAGAGAAGCAAACTAGATGTGAATTGGAAGCCATTTTATAGAATTATGGAGAAAAGGTCACCATTAACTTATATAATAAAAAATCAGTTTGACAATTCAACAGTTAAAGTCCATGCAGAACAAATTAGGTTTGCAAATATTAATGACTGGTCAATACCAAAAAGCAGATAATACTGGCAGACCAAAAAGAAATGCCACATTTGTAGTAACAACCTGAAAATAGCGATACTGATGATGCTTCAAAAATACCAGAATCAGTATTACCCCAAGTTGCTAAGAATGTTAGAAAAGAAAGGTCAAATTCTGATAGTAAAGATGATATTCCATTAGCCGAATTACAGAAACATCTTCGACAACAACAACAAATTTCAAATAATGAAAATGCTCAAAGTAATGTACATTCAGAAGAAATGCAATCGCAGACTGATTCAGAATTATCAGACTCAAATTCCATACAAGTAAATAGCAATCCTCAGTCACAAGCAGCATATAATGCTATTCAGTCAGATTCAATGGCTGATGATAATGATTCGGATAATGAAATGTTTATAAACTCTATTTCTAGTAAAAGGAAAAGTATTGTAAAACCTCGATATAAAGTTTCTGGTAAAGTTAATACAAAATCATCTGGTAATAATAAAAACTCAAAGCATAACATGAAAATGTTATTTCATTGTATTTCTAATTTGCTGTAATAGTCGTGGACGCTATATGCTATACTAATTTTCGGTAAATTGACCTCAGGCATTGTAAATAGTTATTACAGAAAAAAAATATATATATGTTACAAGAAACGATAATAAAACAAAACAGAAAATTACATTATTTAATCATATATCTTTATATTTTTGGTGGTTGTATTCATTTATATCAATTTTCAACTTGCTTTTATTAGAATTATATCTTTGATTTTTTTTATTGATTAAAATGATCGTTATTCGCTATATGTTTATTAATAGATCGGTTAATTAAAATGCATTTCAAAGTAAATGACAGCACTTAATCATGAGTTTCAAATTGATTATTTACTTTATTTCATATTAGAATAACATGTGTATACATACATGTTTCAACTGTCAACGCACAATCATTAAATAAGGTTTAAATTGGGATAAGTCTTATTGTCGAAATAAAACTAAAGTTAATAGCTTAGTTAAAAAGTAACAAAATATGTCTAGAAAATAATTTTTTTTTAAATATCAAGTATTACATAAATAAGATACTTACACTAGAGAACATCTTTCATTGGAATTCTTATCCTATGCATTTTATGACAGTTGTCTTGTTGTTCATATATCTGAAACAAAATTATGTTTATTGTATATAATATCTATTAACCGATCTGAAAACGGACGAAAATGCAAAATATTGGTCTAACGATCACTTGTCGTCCAGCCAAGACAGAGAGGTGCGAGCGAATTCGCCGGTACAGTAAAACACCGCCTGACTAGAAATATTACAGTCAGCCTCTACGATGTCAAACTATGTACAACAAAAACCATGCAGATATAACCATAAACACCTTCTTCGATGAAAAACCATGCATATATAACCATAAACAACTTCTTCGATGTAAAACCATGCAGATATATAATCATAAACACCTTCTTCGATGTAAAACCATGCAGATATAACCATAAACACCTTCTTCGATGTAAAACCATGCAGATATAACCATAAACACCTTCTTCGATGAAAACCATGCAGATATAACCATAAACACCTTCTTCGATGTAAAACCATGCATATATAACCATAAACACCTTCTTCGATGCAAAACCATGCAGATATAACCATAAACACCTTCTTCGATGCAAAACCATGCAGATATAACCATAAACACCTTCTTCGATGTACAACCATGCAGATATAACCATAAACACCTTCTTCGATGTAAAATTATATGAAATAAGCGTCTACGATGTTTAAAAATATATAACTATGCTGACACAGCCGTCAACAACAACAACAACAAAATTGTGGAATCAAATAAACTTTTGTTCCTGTCTTCAACCAGAGAAGCCGAAAACTTCCGTTTATCAATAGAATGTGTTTTTCTATGTGTTATATAAACTTAAAAACAAAAACCCAGAGAAATACTGATGACAACTTCTTATCAAAATAATTATTTGTGCGCGACAGATATATCCAAAATAAATATCACATAAACATTTGCGAGAATCGTGCAACAGTAAAAACTATTAATTTAATTATCTTATTACTCAAAAACATTGCTACATAAATGAAGAATTATAGATCTATCATCATTTTGTTGTATTGTTCATACAAGACATTCTTGTTACAACGACGAAACAAGAACAGCGTTTACAGATGTGCCAATAAATATTCGGAAATATTTTCCTTTAATCAACTTGTGTAATAAAGTTAACGTTTTAACAATAATCAAATACAATATATTAAAATTAAAAATCTTTCAAGGAAAGAAACATCAAACATTAATGAACAATTATGAGTTGTCAATTTTTAAAATGATTTTTTAGAAAGCTACATTAAAAAACGATTTTGAAAATTCCCGACACTTCACGAGACCAAGCCATATGATTGTCAGCAAGTACCTGTTACCCAAAAAATATACGTGTCACAGGAAGTGTATTCAATGCGCATGCACCAATACACGTTTTACAGGAAATTGAAACACCTGGACATTTTTACCCAAAATTTTCAATTTGTTATAATATTTTTCTTAAACTTTTTGTAATATAAAAATATTCTTTGTCTCTCTTATATACATATAATTCTGTTAAAATTTCATACCTTAAAGTTTTTCTAATTAATATTCTTAAAATAATTTGTTCTTTGAAAATTGTTAACTTATTTGTTTGTTTTTTATGTTTCCTTGATCTGTAGAAATTAACTTTTTTTTTTCTTTTTATATGATGAAATAAAGGAAATTTAATATTTATTGAAAAACTTATAAAGCTATATTATTTTACTAATTCAAAATTTTTAAAACTAATATCAAAAGTAAACTTACCTGTGCTACATTGTATCTATCCAAATTTTTCTATTAAAATGAATTCAAACATGAAAAGGTTACACACGATATTCAATTGACCAATCAGAGATGATAGGTGATTTTTCCTTTTCAAAATAAAGTAACAAAAGTCGTTAGATAACATCTCTGACCGGACATCTCTGACCGGATATTACCTTAAGGGTAAAACAGATGTCAAGTTGATTTTAGATTTTAGATTTTTTTAATTTGTTAGGACGAGTTTGAAATGTTTGATATTAAATAATACCTTGTTTAAATACTTTTTTTTTTTAATTTTTTTTTATATATAAGTAAAGGAGGAATTGTCGTATAGCTGGTTGCACAGGCTAATGAGTCATACACGCTATATTCAAAAAGAATGACAAGTCAACATGTATATACATATATTTAGGGGTTTTTATTTCAATAGTGTGAACTCTGGAACATGACATGATTTATGTGTATTATAGTGGCAAAGATACATACAAACTGAACTTATGTCAAAATGATAGATAACGTATTTGTAAGATCGCTAGATTTTCATAAAACATTTTATGTGTAAACTGTCACTATATATTTTGGGCCAGATATTCAGTCCAGGAGTTTCAGCTTTGGTATTCCACTCGTTCACTTGTGTGTTTGTATTTGTATATTAAAAGTAAATGTAACATCCGTGAGTTCTTCCTACGTTATACGACAAACATGAAGGATATGTGTAAATTAACTATGATGTGTTGAAAGGATACAAAATATTGTTTTTTAATATCCAAGTTTGCGTTCTAGCCAAATTGTTTATTGTTGTATTAATTCCTTTAAATAATTCGAAAAATACCAGTCACTTTGCACTTAACAAGTGATATACAGATATAACTATCAATTATGAATAAACTCCAAAAAACAACAACCGGCGTTCTACATGAAACCAAACAGTGTCATAAATCAACCAGAGTCATACGATCATACAAATTAATGCAACCTGCAAGGGTTATACAACCAACCAATGTTTAACAACTCACTGGTGTTATAAAACAAGCTTTTTAAAATTGTATACACCAAACATGCATTTTACAAATATCCGATTTTATAAAAAAAAACAACCGATGCAATACAACCAACTGATGTCATAAAACCAAAATAGTCGTTTGCTGGGTTGACTGAGGATTGAGTCCATAATATTTTGACTTTCAGAATAACACTTACACAAAGATTCGATATAATAATTCATATCGAAAATGATATTTCATTTTATACGTATACTTATTGGATGTTGCTCAATTATGTCATACCATGTATCCAAGATTGACGGGTTGGTCAGATTTAACATCATTTGAATGTCTATGACCTTCTAAAACCTCTTTCTCCTGCCTGAATATAAAAGAATAGATTATTTTAAGTTTAGAATGCTACGTTTGTCTGTGAATATATATTTAGAGCATATTAATTTTACTGATATTAAGTGATATTAAGTTGAATTGCAATAAATTAAAAATACCTTTGATTCAGCTCACTAACACATCCTTCTAACTTTGAAACTGTCGTTTCCATATCTTTATATCGCATCTCAAGGTATTTATTTCGTTGTTGAAGTTGTTTATTGGAAGAATTCAAGTATTGTATGGTATCATTTGACCTTCGTAGCTTGTCTCCCTCAGATATATAACTCGTGCCCCTTTCGTCAGCTGGAATGCGGTTTATGTTACTTGGCTAAGTATGGAAAAGAATATTTACAAACATTTAAGATATGTTTAATTAAGAATACTATTTCATACTTTAACGAATTACATTCCGATGACATACTCATTTCAGATTAATACCTGTCATATTGAATTTTGTTGGTTTCTTATGTGATACATACACATATTGTATTTTGAGATTCAATTCATATTTATATCCCAAAATAAAATATATGCAGTTGTATCATAGTTTGGGGACGTTTCTGCTGAAAACGGGTCAGAGTTAAATCGCATGCACAGTGTGTTAACTGGAGTACAGGTATTAGTTACCCGCACTCCAGAGCATTCCCATTGATTGGCTCATTTTTGCTGGGGGTTTACTTATTGTGACGGCAGGGAAAGAGAGAGCGATAGGAATATCACATTCAGATGCTCGTCCATTGGTTACTTTTTTTTCTCGAAGTTTCATATCGTGACAACAGGGAACGTGTTTTCATGTTTAACTATGATACAAAATTACTTTTACTTAATATTTAAAGAGTTTATATGAAGATTAACCCCCTCATTAGATATGTTAACATCTTAAATAGCATCAACATAATTATATACCTATATATAAATGGAGGATGTAACTATTTTCTGTATTTGATATGATTTTATATTGTATCATTTAAAACTGAAACCACAATAACTTATCAGAGCATTCTATCAAGATATTAAATCCTATGTCATAAGCTATTTGTGTACAGTATTTTACCATGCCCACTCTTATACGACTCCATCTTTCTTCTGTCGCATCAAATGCATCGTATATGTAATTATTTAATGATGCGTTTCGTTGTTGCTCACTGACATTTGTAAGGATATAATCTTTATCTCTTTCTTGATAAATGTAAGCAGATCTTGTGCAACTGAGTTTCCCATTTAGCCTGAAAATCATACGTATACATGAACTTTCTTAAGGAACAGTTTAACATGCAAAACCTGAAATCGAAACCGAAAGTATCAGGAATAACAGTATTTGTTGTTATATATGTATATATTAAATATAGATACAAATATATTATATATCAAATAATATTATTAAGTCTTTTTTAATGCAAATACCTCACCTGCAATTCTCTCTCACTCCAATATAAAAAATGTTCTTTCCTATACTTCGCGTAATATACTTCCTTGTGTGTTTAGTTTGAGAAAAAGTTGGACTTAAGCGATTTGAACGTTATCATTGGCGCTTTATAAACTTTATTAACTTTAAACAACACATTTATTTCACGGGACACTGTCCAATTATAATACATGTAATAAATCGATACGCACTATTCCAGTAGTAGACATGATTTATAATGTAAGGTAATTTAGATTCAGTTCACAGGTTATCTAATTTAAACATTTTATCATTTACCGGCATGAAATTCAAAAGTTAAAATAAAACGAGAGTTTTTAAAACAGACGCAATACTAGTTGATAAAAAAGATATACATTTATAAGTATAAGATAATACTTGAATCCTTTTGTTAAAATGTATTCTTACTTAAGAAATAAACAGAAAGTATGAAGTTTCGACGTAAGTGTACTAGATAATTTGTACAAATTAATTGGCTAATTACCAAAAGTGCAAATATTCACAGCGCTATATATAATAAGTTTTTGAAAGTGTAATGTGACTTTTAATCATTGTTTTATTAGCAAAGATATCACTGTAACATTTAGATATGCCATTTTAAAAGCAGTAATTGGGGACAGGAAAGTCTCGTCCAATATTCATATATATTGATATATACATTGAATAATGGTATTATAGTAAATCAATCTTTGTAAAAAACGTCTGTTATGTATGGCACTAAATATATCGCATAAATGTCGCAAGCAAAGCAAATTATGTAGCACATGCTTATTTGAGAAATCATATATTCTTCATAAACAAATCACTTTGGTTTTCTCATGACTTGCTGATGAATAATATACAACAAAACAAGAAGTATCTTTAAAAAAGATATTTGGCCGAAGTAAAACTGGTTACTTTGCATATGTTAGTTCTTAGTTTTCAATGCAAAATCATATAAAATTATAAACATTTATTTCAATTAAATATATCAATAATCATATAATATATTATATACTTATTGAACATCATAATCTAAGGGTACCTGATAAGTTATGTTATTATTCTCGTTATTTTAGACAAAATTTAAAATTCAGATCTTGTGTAAAATAAACTCAGTTAGTTCTTACGTAAAATAATGAGTTCACCAGAAAATGTAATAAGATATTAATGCAAGAAGTATCGTTAATCAGAACTATCTAAACAATTTAAAGAACTATCCTGTATATTTTAGTTTAGAACTATCTTAGAATGACAAGAACAATCATTTACATTTTATTTAAGTATGTCCACCGAGATTCCCAGATTTCATTTTAAATTATAAAATGAGTAATAAAAACTCTTCTTATATTCAGTTCTTCCTTGTAAATTTAACAAGAAGTCAAACTGAAAACAGACCGGCCCTCGGCCGTGGAAAAATCATATTAATAAGATACTACAATAAAGTGTGGCTAAAAACATCATAAGCTTCAAATACCTCAAACAAACTTATTTTTATATGTATATATAAGCCAATAGGTTGTTGTCCTGAAATATCGTTTAATACATAAATGAAACAAAATAAATTTGTTTTCTTTGTAAAAAGATTTTTAAAATCTGGAAAGAGCGTCCCTCGGACGCATAAAACACAACAAAATTACATGAAAATTGCAGACTAGGTTTGATTGATTCTGTACATGAGGGGATAATGAATGAGTGGAACTTCTGTCATGCCCACCGGCTTGAGCGGTACTCAATTCTCAACATTTGATACTGCTCGCATCAATCATCCCGAAGGATCAGAAAAATATAACAACACCGAAGTGAAGAACGGGGCAATTTTTTTCAGCTGCCACACAGCACTTGACTCCTACTGTTGTGAAGTATAAAAATCTGGAAGTTATATAACAGAACTCGTTGCTACTTGAACAGTGATGTCATCTCACTTATGACGGTCTAGTGGGTGTAAACAAGTGAACAACTATACACAATGCTAGAAATTCCAAACATCGTACTTTATTGTTTCTTATGAAAATATACCTAATGAACAATGTGTTTTTGACAGAATATTTACAATTAATAAAGAAAATTATTGCAAAATCGAATGCTTCCTAATATTGCCAAATATTATCATAAATAGTATGAGGGATAATGAAAACGTACAACATCCCTCACTCCCACTAGCACCTAAACATGTCCTTATACATGGAAATAAAATGTTCTTGGATGTAAGAATGTTATACATAATCTTTTTTTGATTCAGGTTGCATCCCTTCAGCTACACCCTTACAGACAAGAGGACCATCTTTCTGTAAAAGAAGCGCTGGCCAAACGACGTATTTAACTACTGGCCCGGATGTAATATATTCTTTATATAAGCCTTTATCAAACGGCACATCTGTTCTGTCAGTTGGAAGTTCGTGCAGAACCATTCTTTGGGATTGAACTGACATCATCCAACAGAGGTAAACACATTTTAAAATGAAAGGTTTAAGATCTTCTATACAATTATCATTCCAGTTGGCCGCTTTCAAAAACCCCTAGAAAACAGAAAAGAAGTTATTTGAAGTCATCTTTATCACTTATTTGGCTCTAGTACATGTCTAAAGAATATTGTCTTTCCACTGAGTTTCTGATTAGTTCGATCCTCAGACGAGACGGAATTTAGCCGTGGTAAATTGTTTCGGACATTCATGTCTGATGGTGATTTGTTTCCAACTTACAATTAAGAAATCACATGTAGTTAGTAGTCAGCCATTTGTGAATAAATGTTTATTATGAATAGCTATCCAGAGAGGCTGGTTATGTGGACCAACCGCCGAAATATGGCCAGTAATGTTTTGAAATCGGCGTAAATAACAACTAATGAAACAAACTAAAGAATAGTGTACTGATATAGTTGTACAGACAATTTTGTAAAGTGATGAAAACATTCAAAAATGACAAAATTACATTACAATTCTTGACATGACATTCCATTTTAATGTTTGATAAGAAAAATAGATCTGCTCTTTCAGTTACATATTTCTTATGTGATGCATCTTACACTTTTACCAATAAATATTATTTCTGAATTTGAATTTATATAAATTTGAGGTATGATATATTTAGATACTAGTATTTACCATCTTTACGAGTGGAACAATTTCGACTGATATCTCCTTTGTGAACCTTCTGACTGTATCTCTTATATCAACTGTTGCATTTCCTTCTATGGTTACCTTGTTCATATATAAATATGTGTTAAACTCAATGTTTTGATGACTTTATAAGATTGACTGATGCCTTTATGTATAATAAAGTTTAATTTGCATACAAGTCCAATATTTTTCGTTCATTGTTATAATAAAAAATTAATGCACTTTTCAAATTAAAAAAAAGTTGAGCTTAAACATATCTTTTATAAGAAGATAAGAAGATTTTATCCTAATATTCTTTGCAGACTGAAATAAAGATCTCAGAAAATTATTCAAAAGTAACTTGATTTAATTAAGTCAATACCTGTTTATGGTTTTTGATCTCCGATCTTTTTTCATTTAAGTTGACTTTAGGTGACCATATTTCACACACGTTATATGGTTGACATGGTCCGAAAGAATGTATCTGCAGAAAAAAACTGTCGTTTTCTTCAAAAAAGTTGTAAATGGTATCAGGTAATCCTATTACAAGTTTGTCTGCGTTAGCTTCACAATACGTCATCACGTGCTTTGAAAATACAAAGTATTAGGATTATTAAATTGTAATTCTTTAACATAGGTCTACATACCTGACTGTAGCAAATAATTTTAAGGTATACTTAACAAAAAATATATAATGCTAGTTCTATTTAATCGTTTTATTGTTCTCTGTAGATTAGTCAAATGGCAAACTGAATATTGACGAACATATCTGTACTGATATTGTTGAATGTTCAATTTGATTCAACTTTTTTTAAAACATCATATAAAAAATACTGTCGAATAATCCTACTAAAATAGCTCAATATATAACCCCAACTCCTAACATACAAAAAGTCATGTGAATAAATGACAAAAATTAAATCTTTTATCAATCCATCGAAAATACCGTTCATATTACAGTATGACGTGTGATACAACTATCATAAATGCTGATTCTATTCCGAAAATACATGTATTATCTATAAAATGTTACTTTTAATGTGCGATTAAGGATCGTAATTGTCTCATCATCGGTGTATCCAGCCTTTAACAATGCATCATACGCGTCTGTCCATTCATTGTCATATAGTTCACTATAAAACTCTCCAAGCTTGACAGGTCTGTTACTATCACTCAGGTCTGTTATAGCTGGATTGTTATCTGTAAGTTTATCTCCTGCCAATTTACTTAACCTAGTGAAATTAATAAAAATATTTTTAGAAAATTGTTTAAAATGTTTTCTGTATAAGTATTGAATAAGTATTTCTACTGATTTCTTACGCAGTCCGATTTATCACTCTTAACGTGTATTGACCGTGGGGTGGGCAAAGCTGCAAAATTTATAATTATATATTTCATCACCTTCACAATAAAGTTGTTTATTTCATTCAAGGTACATCAGTGTATGTGCCCTCGAAAATATATCATTTTATATTTTAACGGGGAGTGTATTAGCGAGGAGTGTGTGCTTCGGGCGTTTCTTCTAATAACCTCATTTTGGTACTTTGGTAGAATTTGTATTTTGACAAAAATCATATCAGATATACAGTGCCGTTTGATGGTGTAAAGAATTATAATCTAAAATAATTATAATCTTTCCCCGTACATTTTCTAATTTAAAAAAGGGACACTAATTAAAAAAGAAACGAATCGAATCGTTCATATACCTCTATGTCACTTACTAAAACATTTAAGGAGACTGACTTGAGGGCATTTGGAAAGTACGTAACTAAAAATGAAATGTACCGAATAAGGAGATCATCATTGTCGGCTTTGAGTTGTCTGGCATGGTTTTCTATTCCATTCCTGTCTATTTGTAACTTTTCTATCTTTTCTACCAATCTGGATCTTTCGTCGTCTAAGTCTGCACAAGTTTCCGTTTGTGTAGATATGTCAGAAGTAAGTAATTGCTAAAATATAAAATCAACCATGCAAATGTTTTTGTTTTAAATACCTTATCACATGAAGAAAACACGTTTCATATCTTTGTATTTTTGTTACTGTATATGTCGTATAACGGAGGAAGAACTCACGGATGTTACATACTTTTAATATACAAATACAAACACACAAGTGAACGAGTGGAATACCAAAGCTGAACTCCCCCTCCCTGACATTTGAGAATAGTATATATAAAGACAACCTGCCATAAGGACATTTTATAATGTATATAAATACACACGCTTTAGAGCCACATATATAAATCATTTTGACATAAGATCAGTCCGCTTGTATCCTGAACTATAACACTCATAAATCATGTCATGTTCCATAGTGCACATTATGAAATAAAAACCTTAATATATGTATATACATGTTGACTTGTCATTCTTTTTTAAATATAGCGTGTATGACTCATTAGCCTGTGCAACCAGCTATACGACAATTCCTCCTTTACTTATATAAAAAATATTTAAAAAAGTATTAAACAAGTTATTTAATATCAAATATTTCAAACTCGTTCTAACAATTTAAAAAATCTAAAATCAACTTGACATCTGTTTTACCCTTAAGGTAATATCCGGTCAGAGATGTCCGGTCAGAGTTGTTATCTAACGACTTTTGTTACTTTATTTTGAAAAAGAAAAACGCCTTAGGAAACAATATTCGGAAATATTCGCTCAATATATTTTCTTGTCACTTTTTAAAAAGTTTTCGGATACTGCAGTCGGGTAAGTTATAATTTACTTCAACAATTTTGTAATGTTTTTAATAAGTAAAAAAAAAAAGT